TTTGCAATCTGGCTGCAGCATTTTGGAGTTGCTGGAGTTTCTGAACATTTTCCAAGGGTGGCCCCAGATACAGCACGCTACAGTAATCTAGCCAGGATGTAACTAGGGCCTGTGTCCCCATGGCCAGAGCAGATCTCTCTCCTGTAATGGAGGCAGCAAATTCATCAGCTTGAAATGTGCAAAGGCACTTCGGGCCACCACCAAAACTTGAGCATCCAGGCCTGGAGATGAATCCATGAACTCCCCCAAGCTTTCTCAAGAGCGCCTTCTAAGAAGGAAGTGTTGACACAGAGACCTCGGGTCATCTTTCCTCCTTCCCCAAAGGTTTGCTCCACTCTTCAGAAGGATACATTTAAGAAAACTAAAGGAGAGAGATCAAGGGATGCTGGAAGAATTTTGAGACACCAGAATCCAGAGATCCCATCCAAATCTTCCTAAGTAGGTGTGAAGGATTCAAGCAGATCCATTATGAAGAACAATGAGAAGATTTAATTTTTCAGAAAAGCATTTGCAAATTTACAATATTATTAATAAATCACAAAGAAGGATAGTCAGCAGGGGCTCGGAAATGGAGGTATAGTATATTGGAATCACCAGCATTCGTTTCTAAATGTGTGCCTGTCTCCTCCAGGAAAGGGAGAGCTGGAGATGCAGCAACCTCTGTCCTGTCCTGCCAACTTCTGGATCCCAGGTTCATCTCACCTCATCCAGGGGGACTGGGAGGAGGACAGACGGTCCCTGACAAATTCCCCTCTAAACCCCCCTCCCTCCTTTGAACCAGAAACAAAGAAGTACTTCATCCTAAAAACAACCCCTTGTGAGAAGCCCCAGCCTGACCGAGAGAGACATGCCTAAGGTCAGCCTGTGGGCTTCACAGCTCTGTGGCTGGGACTTCTACCAGGATAGCCCTGGAGTCAAGGAGCCCGGCCATTTCTGGGTAATTTCTGAAGATGCCTCCCCCCGCTTGGTTCCTTCCAGCTCCACTGAAGCAGTGCACCTGCTATAAAGGAGAGATTGTGTCACCAGCCGGTTTCATTCCTCATCAGGAATATTGAAATTAAACTTCAGTGTTAAATCTCAGATTCCAGTTGTGCCCAAGTCCAGGTTTTTTTTTAAAGGATCCCTATCAATATGGATAGCTTTTAGTAGACAAAAAGTTTTCGAGACCTTGGATTAGTTACAGAGGAGGAGGAAGAGCTGAGGTCATGGGGCCCACCTGCCTCTGTATTGCTCTACTTGATGTATTGAATTGACCATAATTA